TACATATTAGACACTAGTATGCATTCATCAGAACTAGCTAAGTTGGTTGTAAATCCGATCTATGTTTTCATATAGAAACAAAAACTGAAATTTATTCAATTATAGATCTTTCCCATAATGATTATTTGAAAAATGATTTTAAATCTTTAAAGAATATTCCACAGCAGAAAATATTTATTTTGATTTTCGTTACTTACTTTGATTCTTTGATCATAAATAGAAGTCAGTTATTTTGATTTTCTTTGTTGTATTTTGTTAAGTCTAAAATAGGTTGAACTTGATAAATATAATTTTCAACAGTTTTTGAATGTATTCTTTACCCATATACTGTATCATTATCAATTCGTTAAATACATCTTTAAGCTCCTTTGTTCGAGATTTTATCATTGTTTCAACTTTCAACCATCACAAGATAGTTGATAATTTTGATTAGCTTTAATATTCCATATGTTCTCATCAACTTCTAGCACATCGCTTAATATTATTTTTCTAGATTCATCTTTTATTTATTCTTATTATTCAGCGGAATTAAATTATAGTTATTCTGATATATTTATATATGTGATTGGTATAATTTTAGAGTAATGGAAAAGAAAAGAAAAAAAAACCAACAGTAAAAAAACAAAAAACAAAAGATGAAAGAAATTATTTTTCTTTCCAATTTTTCTCAAAAGGTAATAACTTAGTTAAACATAGAAAAAAAAATATTTTTTTTTAATAAAGTAAACCAGTCACATCTGTTAGATTTAGCTAAACTCAGCCAAATTCTGTAGTTAATATTTGAATCATATTAGATTCAAATATGATTTGATGCATTTAGTAAAATTCTGCGGTTCTTCGTTGATCTAAAATATGATGGACCTCATCGTCAACTTTTGCGGAATGCCATTTGAAAAAAACAACTTTTTAGCTTTGCAATAAGAATCACAAATGTTACTACAATTTAAGAAATTTAATTTACCCTATTTTCAAATGGTGTGAATAGCAAATTGTTTTGGTAAATGCAAAAATTGTTTTCAAAAAATGTTTAAAAAAAAAAAAAAATTGCATTGGACCGTTAAATAAAAACAAAAGAAAAAGCAGAGCACTGTTGTCCGTACTCTTTCCACTGGAACCCATTGATCTCTAAATATGCTTTCGTATTATTTTCGTTTTCATTTTTATCCAATTCAATTTACT